AAAATAATAAAGCACGCCGCCGATTATGATACATTCATTGAAGAGAATGTGACTTGTGATAAGCATTGAGAATGCAGACCCATTCCTAAAGGTGAATATTGTAATATGTGATAAAAGTAATGAATAAAGACATGCAATGCATGATTGGATGAGTACCACACAACTCACCTCTGAGGGAGGTTTAAGTAAAATAAAGAGAATAAATATTATTGTGTGGTTACATGAATATGTCATTGGTCGCGTACATGTGATACGCCAAAAAATATTTTGTTGTGCCTTCTCCATGAAGGAGACATTTACTATATTAATGGTGTGACAAAAGATCTTGTAGTACAAAAGTTGTTAAGAACTCCAAAAAAATTAATTTGTTACTACCCGGATGAATAAAAGTATTCACGACATTGATATTGTAAAGTCTCAAAAGAAACTTTTTGAGTTTCAAATGTATAAGTCAAAGTGGTTGGCATATTGAGACTATAAATAAAAAGAATATTTTCATATTTTCATATTTCTATAATCATAACGGATAAATATGAAAGATTACCCTATTTTCTTTTTATTTGTACTACACAAATATAAGCATGATGATGGAATCATATGTCACAAGTAAACTAGAGGTTTACTAAAACAAATATTAGTTGGTATGACCGGTTGACCATCTCGGTTCAATTATAATGCGAAAAATTAATTGAGAATTACATTGATATATATTGAAGAAATATAAGATTCTTCAAGAATTCTCTTGTGCTGCTTATTCTCATGATATATCAGTTAAAGTTGGGATTGAATCCTTTGATTTCTGGAACTAATAAAAGGTGATAAATATATGGGCCCAGTCACCTGCCATGTCGACCGTTTACTATTATATGATTTTAATAGATGCATCTATTCTTTGGTCACATGTGCATTTGTTATCAACTTGTAGTTTGACTTTTGCAAGACTGATTGCTCAAATTATTAGAGCACAGTTCCAAAATATAAATTATGATTATTTATCTTGATAATATTAGTTTAAATCCAAGTTGATTTAGCAGAAATTGTATGCCTCCAATTATAGCAAAACCGTTAGTTATGAGAACAAAATTTCCAAAATAAAATTTGTTATGTGATGTATTATTTAATATACAACAGCACTTGTACGCATCTAGCCAAATTAAGATAAGTTCTCCCTATCACAATCGGTTCAGGGTCAGGAACCAAATAATTTTCATCTAGAAATATGAATGTGCTATATGATTTAATTGTTCCACCACAATGTACAAAGATGGATCCCCAAATAAGGTTAGGGATATGTGTCGGTGATACCAACAATAGGGGGAGAAAATGGGCAGCTGAAAAAGTAATGCATGTAATGAATTATTATGAGTACATCTAGATCCTCGTATGAGAAAATGTGAACTTGAAGTTCAAGGGATAATTCATTTGCAAAATATTGCTAGACGTATTTGTTGACCCAAAGTTAAATATCATATTCAGCTGCTAATGCTCCAAATAAAATAAAGTTCATAATGAATAGAGTTTATGGCATGCATGAAGTATAATAGACTAATCGTTTCCAAAGATAAAACTCCTTGAAAAAGGAGAGGAGCAAATGTTCAAGATGGTCATAATAAGGAGGCAAGTGCTCTAGAAGAGCACCACAACATAACACTTCATAAAACCTCATGGAAAAGGCTCAGGTACCTGAAAATAATAAGATAAAGAGATCTCAATAAGTTATGTATTTATTGGGTAATAGTAGAACCGATATAAAATGATCGTCGACAATATTGCTAATATAATATAGCGCTCAATATTATTAATATTGACGAGGATCTTGAGCTCAAATCTATCATGAAATTTGGACAGATAAATGATTGGCCAAATGAAAAATACGCAATAAAAATTAATTTCACCTGAAAAATATGAAGTTGGACGGATAGTCCTAACACCTGAAAGTATAAAGTTAGTGGAGGTATAAATACGTTCTTGTGCGGAAAAAAAGGCAAGTCGATAAACATAAAGACGACTTGTGTCACAAGAAAATTTATAAATATCCTGGCATTGATTATATAGAGACATGTTCTCCTGTGGTGGATGTCGCCATTTCAGGTTTTAATCTGGCAATACAAGAAAAACGTGATATGCGTATAATGAAAATCATTGAAGGATTTAAATTGTTCTGAAGCATATTAAGGTTTCCAAGAAATTTATTAAATAAAGCTTCAAAAATCCTTATACGGATTGAAACAATCAGGGCGCATGTGGTATAATCGCCTGAGTGAGTACCTGTTGAAAGAAGGGTACAAGAAGGATTCAATTTGTTCTTGTATCTTTATAAAAAGAGATGGATCTAAATTTATTATAATCACCATGTATGTTGATGATTTAAATATCATTGGAACTCCTAGGGAGCTTCCTAAAGCAGTAGACCTTCCTAAAGCAGTAGACTATTTAAAGAAAGAATTTGAAATGAAAGATCTTGGAAAGACAAAATTTTGTCTTGGTCTACAAATTAAGTATATGAAAGATGGAGTTTTTGTCCATCAATCAACATACACTAAAATGATTTTAAAGCGATTATACATGGATAAAGCACATCCATTCCGACCTCATGAAAATAATGAAGAGCTTATTAGTCCTGGAGTACCATATCTTAGTGCAATTGGTGCACTAATATATCTTTCTAACATTACAAGGTCTGACATAACTTTTTCAGTTAATGTCTTAACAAGATATAGCTCTGCTCCTACAAGGAGACATTGGAATGGAATCAAACACATATTGCGGTATCTAAAAGGGACTACCGATATGGGATTATTTTATGGCAATGATTGCAGTCCCGATCTTGTTGGTTATGCCGATGCTGGGTATTTATCTGACCCACACAAGGCTCGATCTCAAACAGGCTATGTGTTTACATATGGAGGCACTGCCATATCTTGGCGATCGACTAAGCAATCAATCGTGGCTACTTCATCTAATCATGCTGAGATAATTACTATTCATGAAGCAAGTCGAGAATGTGTATGGTTGAGGTCTATAATACACCTTATTCGAGACAAATATGGTTTGAAGTGTGACAAACTACCCACAATTTTGTATGAAGACAATGCAACATGCATAGCCCAATTGAATGGAGGATTTATAAAGGGGATAGGACAAAGCAAATTTCACCAAAGTTATTTTTCACACATGATCTTCAAAAGAATGGTGATATCAATATGCAACAGATTCGTTCAAGTGATAATACGGCTAATCTGTTCACCAAATCTCTACCGACATCAACCTTCAAGAAATTAGTGTACAAGATTGGGATGCGAAGGCTCAAGGATGTGAATTGATGCTCTCATCAGGGGGAGTTAATACGCGTTGTACTCTTTTTCCCTTACAAGGTTTTATCCCACTGGATTTTCCTTGCAAGGTTTTTAACGAGGCAACCAAAGGGCATATTTCTAAACATGTGTACTCTTTTTCCTTCACTAGAATTTTTTTTCCCATAGGATATTTTCTTAATAAGGTTTTAACGAGGCACATTATCTATGGACATCCAATGGGGAGTGTTATAAGAAAAATCAAATTATGGTGGATGTCTACTCTTCCTCCATGATCTTCTCAAATGCTTAATGACATATTCAATGACATATTTCTATGCTTAATGACATATTCAATGACATATTTCTATGCTTAATGACATATTCAATGACATATTTCTATGCTTAATGACATATTCAATGACATATTTCTATGCTTAATGACATATTCAATGACATATTTCTATGCTTAATGACATATTCAATGACTTATTTTTCTTCATTTTTTCATGCCTATATAAAGGCCTTATAGTAGATAAGAAAATACACACAATTGAAGAAGAAAATCTCTTCCTTCTCTCTATCTCCATTTCTTGTTTATGTTTTACTAAATTGCTTTTATTTCATACAACAACATGTCTTGTTCATGTTTTACTAAGTTGCTTTTATTTTATAACAAAAGGTAGTTTATTTTGTCTTAATAATGACACTTGGCTTTTTGTGGTTATGCCACTTGTCTTAATAATGTGTTTTTGCTTCTCCTTTTATTATATATAGTCATATAGATATTAAATAACTTTAAAACTTCAACTTGAAACTACTCCCCAATTTGAATTAGTAGTTATTTTCGTTTATATTTTTGTTTTTTAAATATAGCTAATTATAAGATATCTATATTTATTAATTCAAATAGAGTAACCAATTAATTCAAAATTTAAAAGGTTTTTTTTACTTAAAAAGGTAGTTTATTTTATCTTAATAATGCCACTTGACTTTTTGTGGTTATGCCCTCTGTATTAATAATGTGCTTTTACCTCTCCTTTTATTATATATAGATTTAAAATAACTTTAAAAGTCCAACTTGAAATTACTACCCAATTTGAATGAGTAGTTATTTTTGTTTTTTTAATATAACTAATTATAAGATATCTATATTTATTAATTCAAATAGAGTAACCAATTAATTCAAAATTTTAAAAAGTTTTTTTAGTTAAAAAGGTACTAGTTTATTTTGTCATAATAATGACACTTAATTTTTTATAGTTATACCTTAATAATGTACTTTTGATTGTCCTTTTTATTATAGATAGATAGATCACATTCAGATTCAATTAGTGATTTTCCAAATAGGATCACAAAGTTGGTAAAACAGTCCAAAAACAACCGAACATCTCAAATGGTCCACACTTGACACTCCCATCCCCTCTATCTCACAAACCCCAATTAAAACCTTTCTCTTTTCTCGCCCCACTTCCCTTACACCTCCAATAAAGAACTATGGCCCTGCAGCTATGGGAAAACTTGAAAGATTCAATCTTTGACTACACAGGCCTTTCCCCTACAACTTTTTTCACAGTTGTTGCTTTGGGTCTTGCTTTGTACTATGTTGTCTCAGGGTTTTTCAGCTCACCTGATCATGTTCACCACCAAAGGTCTAGAAATTTTGAGGAACAGATGGAACCTCTTCCCCCACCAGTTCAGCTTGGTGAAATTTCTGAAGAGGAGTTGAAACAGTATGATGGGTCTGATCCTAAGAAGCCTTTGTTGATGGCTATCAAGGGTCAGATCTATGATGTTTCTCAAAGCAGGTATTTTTCCTTTGTATTCTAGTGTTTTATGCTAGTTTTTTAAGGTGTTTGATTGATATTGGAGTTTGTATTTGGATTTTAGATAATTTTTGGTATGCTTCTTTGAGTAGGATTTTTTGGCTTTTCTTTTTCTGTGGAAGTTTTTGTTCTTGATTGTTCATTTAATTGCTTTTCTTGATCAATTATGGAGAGGCTTTTATTTGACTTTGGAGAATAAAAAGGTATCTGTAAAAGAACCTAATACTAAAGGGTCGAATCAATCTCCCTTTTGCTGTTTCTTTCAAGTTACTGTGAATTGCTTTTTCTTGTCCTTTGGAGGAAAAAGTATGAACTTTTTCTTATAAAAAAAAACTGTCTGAACTTTACTGAAGTCCTTAGACTCTTTAATCTGCTAATTACAAAACCTGGACATGGAATTCGTTGAATAAAGGAGGTAATTAGGAGTTAGTGCTGTAGGTGCGTCATTCAATATGCTTTCCTTCTTAACTTGCTTTCTCTACTAACACCGTGGGGCGAAAAGTTCTAGTTAAAAGATTTCCTTTTGCAAGAATAACTCAATTGGCTGTTTAAGTGTGTCAACTTGCTAGCCTGGGTCCATAAGGATTGAGGTCTAGTCTAAGGCCATAAGACCCTCTTTAATTTTATTATGATTAAGACTTCTGAATCTGAATATACATGTGAATATTAAGATCTTGCATTTTAATATGAGCACTGAATAATTAAGACTATGGTTTTTCAGCATTTGAATGTGGATACTATATTTGTATTTAAAAACTAACAAATATAGAATTCAGTAAATTACTACTAATAAATATTATATCCACAAAATATTAGAGAAAATCTTAATTAAATGGTGCTATATAATTTGTTTCTTTGATGAATTACACTCTAAAGTTAGCGGCGGTGATTGACGAGGTGGTGGTCGACAATAATAGTTGTAAGGTGGTGGCTATGGTTGCCATAGTTATATGGAGGAGGTTGACAATGGTGGTTGTACGGTGGTGGCCAGAGGTGATGGATTTGGGTAAAAGTTGGCAATAGTTTTGGTGGTGCTTACTAGTGGTGAAGGTGGTTGTTGGTGGTGATTGCACTGTGGAGGTTAGTGGTAGAGGCGGTTGCTGGTGGTAACTAGTAGTGAAGGTGGTTGTGTGGCGGAGATGGTTGTTGGTTGTGGCTAGTGTCAGTTGTAGTCAGTAGTGGAGGCGTTGGTGGTGGTTGATGGTGGAGGTGGTTGTGGGTTGGTGGTTGGCGGTGATAATAAATATAATTGTGGTAAAGGGCTACATTCACATGGATTTTAAGTGAATGTCTTAATGATGTTAGGATTCATTAACAGCTAATAAATGGTTGTGAAAGAAAGAAGCAAATGCACTTAATAGGCTGACATTATTTTATTTAGATCTTAGACCTCCATTAAGTGCAAATAAATAGGGTCTTTTGATTGAATGAATATGAGACTTTAAAATACGAAAAAGTGAAGCATAATTAAACAGAAATATATTATAAAGAGAAATTCTAGTTCTTTTTTAAGTAAATAAGTTCTTTTTTGTTACTTTCTTCTTCTTCTTCTTATTATTATTATTATTATTATTATTATTATTATAACCGTGGTGTCCGGACCAACTTGCTCGCACCCAGACTTGTTCAATGGGATACCTGTCACCTCCTACCAGTACCAAGTACCAGGTTACTGTTTCTATCCAGGCTTGGATAGATGAGAAAAAATCACCTAGTTTTTTTTGCCATTTGAACCTGAGATCTCATTGTTCTCACCCACTTCATTGACCACTAGGCCATATCCTTGGGTGCTTTTTGCCTATGTTGCGCGGACTCTCCAAAATGATGCCGTACCCGTGTCGGGATCCGACATGCACCCAGCAACATTTTCGGAGAGTGCGAGCAACATAGCTTTTTGCTACTTTCTTATTCTTATGTCAAGTTTACTTTTGTTTATACAACGTTAAAATTTAGTATTGTGTTACGTACATTCAAATAGTATAAAAAATAAAAAATATTATAGTATACATACTTTCAAATGTTAGAATTTTAAAAAAATACTTAAGTAGAGTATCAGTATCGAAAAGATTCAAGAAAATTTATGTTACCTTAAAAAAGAACTCTTTTCTCTTTTTGAATCCTTTTTACGTTCTCTACCTGACTTTGCAATTTTTTTTAATTTAAACTGATATTTCAATTAATAATAAGAATGCATAACATTTATGTTAATATCAGTATTTTCATTCCAAATTGACAACACATATCTCCTCGAAACTGCAAGCGTCGAGTCAAGCTCTCCACCATGAGTTTTCCCTTTTGACAAATGAATCCGCTATCATGTGCAAGAAGTGCACATAGGAAAACAATCATCACCCTCAAAGAGGTCTTCATCAAGCTATATTGCAATTGCTACTTAGACCAATGCCTTTAGAATAGAGCATAGATAGTTTATTTTTTAATGCATAGCTTGACTTACTTATATACTTGTATATATAATATATGGATAAAACTAAGGATCTGCATTAATATAAATATTTCATATTGTTGATTGTACTAAATATTGATGAGAAAATCTACTGTTAATTTAATCAAAACTTTAAAATGTAAAATTTATACCTAGTTAGAGTCCAACATGAGAAAACATATAATAAAATCCAAATATTTTACAATTTCATTTAATAAATTAATTGAACTATGTTATGTTCAATAGAATATCTTAGTAGCCATACTAAATCTGTAATGCAATATGGATTGATTCTAACATGCATCATCCAAGAAAAAGAGGATAGAAAATCATGATATCTCATTACTTCCTCTATCCCATTTTATGTGGCACACTTTCCTTTTCAATCTATCCGAAAAAGAATATCACTTTTTTATATTTAAAAATAATTTGACTTTAAACTTCTAATTTTACCTTTAATGAGATGATTTATAGTCACATAAATATCCATGACTTGTTTTAGACCACAAGCTTCAAAACTCTTCCTTTCCACATAGATTAGGATGGAGGGAGTACTTTTCATTTTTATAATGAAGCATCTCGTTACTTTTTAATTGGGTCAACTGTGAAGACCAATTTACAAAATTAATTATATCGTCCATCTTTTACGTGTGCATTTGCTGACAAGTCACATTCACTTACCATTACACTTTGTCAAATTATTATTGAAGTCCAAAAATTGAGTAATTATCAAGAATATGGTCGATGTATAATTACTCATTCACAAAAATAGTTTTAAAAAATGTACTTATAAGTGCATGTGACTTGTCAACAAGCGCACATGTGACAAATTAAAGATGGAAGAATATTTAGTATATGCATCGCGTTTCGAAGTTGACCCAGAATCTTGTTTGTTCTTGATTTTCTTTATTTTATTAAATCATGTCAAGCTGAAGCTAATTGCTTCAGATTTAATTCTTTTGTTTAGTTTGAACTATTTAGTATTCTCCTAGTTATGATATTATTTTCAGGACTTAAATAACTTTTGATTTGGAAATGTTCACTTGGTAACTTCTTTTTTCCAGCAAGCAGAAACTCAAAAGTTCTCATATGAGAATTGTGAAGGTCAAATTGTTTTCTTCGTAATTCCGTCAATCGGCGTATAGACTGAATTCATTAAGGACACAGTCTTTGGAATTCAAATATCTGAGATGAGTTTGAATATGTTCTTTTTTTAACAAAATGTTATGCTTATATCTTGACCATTAGTCCTTTTATAACCAGGGCCATATTTTTCAGTTTTGCAGTAGTTTTCCTACAATAGGTGTTGTCACCACATATTTGTGCTTAATCTGTGTGCAGAATGTTCTATGGACCTGGAGGACCTTATGCATTGTTTGCTGGGAAGGATGCGAGTAGAGCTCTTGCCAAGATGTCCTTCGACGAAAAAGATCTCACGGGTGATATATCTGGTCTTGGTGCATTTGAGCTTGACGCTTTACAGGATTGGGAGCACAAATTCATGAGCAAATATGTTAAGGTTGGGACTGTGAAGCAGACAGTAGTGCCTGTAAGCGACGGGGCAGCTAATAGTGAACATGTTGAAGCAAATAATCACGATGCTAAACCAGCAGAAGGTGGTGCACCAGAGAGTGTCGAGCCATCAGAAAATGCTGATCCTCGTAATGAGGCTTCATCAGATAGTATTCCAGCTGAAACTGTGAACAAGTTTGATGGTGATGCTGACAAGAAGGAATAATTACGACCAATTTTCATGAGCAAGCTGAGAACGAGAGATAACAGGTTCCGTAAAAGCATGACACTTGGTGCATGTGTATTATCTTGTATCAGAAGGATATAAACAGGTCTTAGTTAATCTCTATTACTATAGTAGTTGTTTGAACAAAAGATCTTATTAAGATTAATGCAAGAAAAGAGACAGATGCATGAGTAGCCTATGTAATTCCAAGTATCATTCAAGCTGCATTTGTTTTTCTTGATTGGGAGCAATCCTCACCAGTTCCATGCATTTTTACTACAGCCAACAATGTTACTAGTAATTCCTGAAGGGGACTCACTCTGCTCGATTCGATGAACTTACATATGACATTGAACATTTACATACTACCACCAACATGTTTTGTTCACTTACTTGTATGTCTCTTGCTTGTAATCCTCTCGACTATAGTGTTCTTTCACTATCAAGGTTTGCAGCACTTTTATTTTGTAGCTAAAGATGGCCTTGTACTCTTGGGGCTTGTTTGGTACGAGGGATAAGAGATAATTAATTCCGGGATTAAATTTGAGATGTGTTTATCCCATATTTGATTGGGATAAAATCACGGTATAACTAATCTCGGTAATAGTTTTTCGGGATTGTAGTGTTATTTTTATCCCTATGGGAGGGTGGGATAACTAATTTCAGAATAATTAATCTTGGGATAACTTGTTTCCGACCAAACGACATCTTAGTTGTTGCATATGTCTAGTCCTTTCTTTCAGTAGGAGCACTTACCCTTTAATGGGCCAGTAAAAAGAGGAAATCGGGTATCATGTCCTTGAAAATGACATTTTTAGAATGACAAATCATCTCAAAATTCTTTCCAATATTTACTAAATAAAGCTCATCTCCACTTGTTTATTAAATACGAAAGTTAAATTCAGCTTCAGTACTAAGCTCGTTCACCCAAAAAAAAAAAAAAAAAAAAAAAAAAAAATGGCTGGTGAAATATACTCCATGTGTCTTGAATTAATTGCGTTGAATTTTATTTACAATGATTTGATCATTTCTTAATTTGGCAGTCCTTTTCAAACCAAATTTTATAAGAAAAAGGCTACTCCACCAAACATGACTTTTTGTAATTAAAATAATAAAAAATAATACTTAGAAATTAGGATCAAATGAGAATTTGATTGATTAAAGAAAAAAGAAGACAGAGAGTACTAATTATATATTATTATATACAAGTGTACTAGTTATGACCTGTGAGGTCTAAACTGTTGGATTACATATACCAAAGGAAACAATAACATTATCATATTCACGTGTGAATTAAACAGTTAGTATATACGGAGATTATTCGAGTTACCTCTTGAATTGTGAACAAAGCAGATTAATCTCGGTCTCTAGTTCCAAAGTTGCAAGACCGCGACCTCATCAAAACCTCCACAGTCTTCTACCGTGTTACCTAAATAATATCCGGAAAGAGAGAATTTCGGATTCGAAATTCCAAGGAAGAAAACGTGTAAAACCAGTGCAAAAAAAAAAAACGGGCAGCCTATATGCAATATATATAGCCGCATTTTTTTAGGTTAAAACCCTTTTCCAAAACCTGTTAGGTTTTCTTCTTCCACTAAGGAAATGTTTCATTTTATTTCCTATTATTTAGGCACAGTAGGGACCACATAATTTAATTAACAAGGCTTTATATTATGGAATTAATTTCGAAATTTAAAATTCATTTCTACCATAATAAATTACGAATTATTCCACTAAAAATTCGTAATTGCACTCCTTAGTACAATTCGAAATTCTTTCATAAAACCTTACTTAACTCCCCATGTTAAGATTCAGATACTAACCAATCAAATTAAATTACTGACAATTTAATTTATTGATTACTTCCTTTAAACTTTCGCTTAACTTATTTCATGTGTCGGATACAAAATCCACCGGCCGAGTTTACACATGAAATCTTATAAGCTTTCATAAAGGAGTATCATTAATCTAAAAAATCGAGACATGGATTCTATCAACTAATTATTACTTCGCCAATGTATATCATTATTGTCCAATTTACCAGGCTTATTGACCCACGAAAAAAAACTCGCCTTTTAATAAATCAAAACAATAAATGACACGCACACAACTAATAATAATTATATCGAGATTAAGAGTATAAGTACATTGAATGGACTAGAAAAATTATTTTATTAAGTAAGTATAAAATACTTATCTCTACTTGATCCGTTCAATACATACAAAATGTAATAGCACAAGAAGTCTGTCACGACCCAATTTTCCCTCCGTTGGGTATCGTGATGGCACCTAGTCTTAGGGACTAGGTAAGCCTAACAATAATTAAAACAATAACATTATTTAAATAGAATCTCTTAAAATTTTTAAAACCGGCAGTACAAGTCATAAGCTCTACAAAGTGTTTGCTAGAAAACTTCTAAATACAACTGTCCAGAAATGAGGATAAGCAGTGCAAAATAAAAACTAGAAGGTGACTCCGAAGCCTGCGAACGCAGCAACAGGTTTACCTTGAGTCTCCACAGCAACAGTCCACACATCTAGCTAACGAACAAGTACTTGGATCTGCACAAAAATGTGCAGAAGAATAGCATGAGCACACCACAGCGGTGCCCAGTAAGTATCAAGACTAACCTCGGTGGAATAGTGATGAGGAACAGTCAAGACACCCACTGGTCTAATAAACTGAACAGATATAAGTACATGAATAACAGAAGTATGATGTCTACATAAAGACTATGCAATATGGCTCACAATACAGTATTGGCAATAAGGAAGGAAACAACAAGTATCAACGGAATATCATGAAAATGACACAGACAAAGTGAATGGAACACAACCTAAATCCGGAATCACGAGTATAGCAAAGACAAGTTTTCTCAGTAATTACAACTGCTTTTACATCAGGTCTTAGTCCACAACTCCACGAGGTACCGCACCTCGGAAAATTCACAACTCACGGGTCTCAATACCTGAACCCTAACACTTGGCATCATGTGCCCTCATAACACCTCATAACCACACTGACGACTCACGTGCCAATAGAGCCAATCTCACATAGAAGGCAAGTAAATAAGGGTGAGCATCTATGCTCAACAATATCAAGAACACCTCTTATCCGATAAGAGTGCTTAACTACGTATATGCTTGTGCAAGTGTCCTAACATAGTCCATACCAGCAAATAAGCATAAGGAAGAAGAAGAACGGACAACACGTAGAATATTTTCTCACAGCTTTCACAAGATAAAGCTCACACAGGTACGTATACCACTACACAAATATCAACAACAAGAATNACAACACGTAGAATATTTTCTCACAGCTTTCACAAGATAAAGCTCACACAGGTACGTATACTACTACACAAATATCAATAACAAGAATGCCCCCAGGCCATAAATCATCACGATTCAATCCCTGACATATCCCACCTTGTCTCGCCACGTGTGCAATCGTAACATAAATGCCCGCCTTGTCTTACCACATATGCATAATAATGTTCCCACCTAGTCTCGCCACATGCGCAACCCATAAATATATATACATATCCCGCCTTGTTACGACGCATGTGCAAATATCAATGGTAACAATAGCACGGCAGAAACCTCGTGCAATCCCATAATAACAACCGCACGGCAGAAACCTCGTGCAATCCCATAATAACAACCGCACGGTATAAACCTCGTACATCACAATAATAACAACCGCACGGCAGAAACCTCGTGCATCACCACAACAAGTACCACCGAAACAATGACAATAATACAAAGTATGACAAGTAAATCAACTCAAGAACTTTAATTCACAAAGAAACGGTAAAACCAATTCACAAGGAATAACCACAATAAAGAATTCTAGGCGTAAAGGGAACAACTCAACAAAGGGAAACTAATGTGTATCAACGATTCCACAATATACATTTCAACAACAGGGAAACTAACATGAGTTAAATAATTTCAAATAAAACAAGTCGACTAAGATATAGGATATCTAAAACTTCTTTTAAGGTTGAGGAATTACTAAGGATTTTCAACAATTTAATTAAGGATAAGCAGCGAAAAGATAATCATAACCTCAATTAAGACTGAACAAATTATAAGATGATAAAATAATAATTTCAAATAAAGATTAGCAGTTATGAAAAGATAGCATGACAATAGAGGAGGTAAAATCTTCAGTTAAGTCAAATAAGAGTCAAATAGGCAATAAGAGTGAATCCTGAAAGCGATTAATTCTAATTAAAGCATGTAGAGGTGAAACTAGTAAATAGGAACCTAATCATATCAAGAACAACTTCATACTCAGTGAATATAAGGACCTAAGAATCCTAAAAGGCTAACTTTTCACAAATAAGTCCGAGCACGCACTCGTCACCTCGCGTGCATGGACTACAATCAACATAGAATACTCAATCCTAAGGGGAAAATCCCTCACACAAGGTTAGGCAAGATACTTACCTCAAACCAAGCTCAACTAGTCCGTAAAAATGCCCCTTTTTCCAATTATCCGACTCCGAATGGCCCAAATCTAGCCAAACACAATTGCATAACATGAATACAACCATAATAGACTCATCTAATTATTAAAATCAATACTTTAACAAAAATCCCGAAATCCGCCCTAAAGGTTGACCCAGGCCCACATCTCGAAATCAGGTAAAAGTCACAAAATACGAACACTCATTCACTCACGAGTCTAACCATACAAAAATCATCAAATTCCGATACCATTTCGTCCCTCAAATCGTGATTTTTCATTTTGAATTTTTTTCTTTCAAAAACCACCATTTTCCTCGACTCAAAACACAAATTAAATGATAAAAATAAAGATAGAATCATGGAAATAAATAAATTCTAGGTGAAGAACACTTACCCAATCGATTTGCATGAAAAACCCACAAGGAATCGCTCAAAACCGAGCTCTAGAACTCCAAAAATGGTGAAAATGGCAAACCCTCGGAATAGAGGACTTTATATTCTGCCCAGGGGTTTTGTGCATCGCGAACGCGAAGAAAGGGACGCGTTCGCAAAGAAGAGAAACAAAAGTTGCCCAGTTGTTCTTCGCGAACGCGACACCACGTTCGCGAACGCGACAACACGTTCGCGAACGCGGAGAGGAAAAATATGATGGCCCAATGACCGCTCTTCGCGAACGCGTGAAGTATTACGCGAACACGAAGAGTGTAATGGAATAGCTACGCGAACACGTAAGTGACACGCGAACGCGAATAGGAAAATGATCAC